CTGTTATGAACTTCTTTTTATGCCATAAATTTATTATTTTATTTAGTTTTGTTTGTATATTGGTAGTAAGATCTTTGTTTCCGGTTCATATGTATTTATATCATTTATTAAGCTTAGCATTTTCGTTTTGCATTCACTTTTTAACATAAAACTTTAAATAGGGACAATAAATGACTAATGAGGTTGACTAATTGATCACTTGTTTAGGCTACGGCGTCAGCCGTTGACCGGGATGCAAAGTATAAATTATGCAACTTTCAACAACTGTTTTCCAAAAAAAACTCGTGTTTTCATCAAAAAGCTCACCTGGTTTCCGCCTTTCGATCAATGAGTAAATCGGTTTTATTGCCATAAACTCGCACCAGCACAGTCTCTTGTTCTGGAGCATCGTCTGGAAGACAGCCTATGAGTTTGTTGGTAATTCCATCTGTTAACAGCTATATATATTCATCTTTTATTCACTAGATATCTGGGTTTGTTGATTTATTGCTTAAAACTTATCTACATGTAACTTTGCGATTATAACGGCGCAAAAGCTGTTCCAACAAAACCGTTCCAACAAAGTGTGCTTATTAATGATAATGTATAATTTGTGTGTAAAGATTAGAAATCTCGGAAACAACTGATTAATGGTGATAAACATGTTAATAAATGGGTGGCTTCAGATGGACCATTAAAACATTTTGCGTGACAACATGGACCGATTTGTAAATTGACTATACAGGGTGATTCACGTAGACCGTGCATTAGAAACTTTCCCCGAAAAACGCGCAAATATTGGCATTTCGGTGCTGAAAAGTACGAGTGTAAAATGAACTTTTGGTGCAAGTGAATCACCGCCGATACGAAAATGGTTCAACCTGGTAAGACAGATCTCTAATATACAGGTTGTCGGCAAAAATGTGCGCATTTTTCGGAACACTTAGCTTGAACTGGCGGAGGTTTTATGAGAGCGAACAGATATTTTACGGCTTTTTTACATTCCAATTTCAATGGAGCTCAGAATTACTTACTAAACGCCTTTTTTCGCAGGTGCCACGATGCAGCTTGCGGTAAGTTTGGCTTTACATTTTCCCTGAAAGATCGTTTTGTGCGAGTCACACTGTCTAATGAAACTACTGGGTTTTTCGGGTTTTTAGGCCGTCGTTCGGTAGAATTTCTTCTGGACGTTTCGCAAGCACGAGTGGCTTGCATCTTCAGAAGTGGTTTGCTTGAACGCTTACACTGTTCTCATCAGA